GACTACAGCAGCAACAACAAAAACAACAAATGGGCTGTAAGCTTTGAATCAATCACATCAGACACCAACAGCTATTATATTTCGGCTCATTAAGCTGATTTCAGAATACACATGAATCTTCATGATAACCCTCGGTCAATAAACAGTATGATGAAACTCAAATTCCAATCCGTCCATCGGAAAATGATGCTGAACAACGAATAAACAATAAATAAATAAACCATCCTAAAATGTTAATGAAAAATACAGATACAGGTTCCTTAAACTGCAGTGACTTATTTGCTGAATTGAGTATCGAGAGAGTCTAAGGGTTATCAGATCGAAAAAAGAGCCATGGAGCATGTGAACTTCGTATTTTCACTCAGTTAGTTCGGTGATCATAGATCATGTTTGGCATATCCAGGTTTCAATTCATGAACAATCCACAGAAATGTTATTTGTATGATGGCCAAACAGTGGATAAGGTTTGACTTTCGTGTTANATTAACCGAGCAATCACAGGAAATTACTGTTCATTTGAACCCGGGAGTGATGAGACCGAAACAGAACAGACGCCGTTCTGAATTGAACGATTGAGAGGCTGCAGTCTATTAAATTTTGGTGAACGCGTTAGGGTTTGAATCTCGTATCGATGGTCTATCACCACCTTACTGCATGTGGAAAACAGATCGAGACACATCGGTTTAATGTCTAGTAGATGGTCTCAAACAATGACCAGACAAGACAAACTAGAAAACCATGGGGATAAGAAACATAACAACCAGCCTTACCCGTTAGGATCCGCACAAAGCAAATGTCTCGGACTACGCCATCGGTTGTCCAAAGAGCATGGATCGGACTCAAAGATAAGCAAAGCACGAATGATATGAATGGATGCGTTGAACTGAAAAAGAAATAATGGAAATGTAGAATATCTGGGTAAATTATATATTGCGCATGTGTTTGAGTTCAAACTGTGTGCAAAAGAAATCGTGTAACGTGATAAGTGATAAATGATAAACGCTGTATCGAAGACCAGAATTGATGCACCTCAGCACTGTTTCCAGTAATAGTTAGATAAAGACAGTATTGACAGCAGACCTCTGGTAGTGAAAAATCTCTTGTTCACTGATCCGAACTCACGAATCATAAAGGAACTCTGTATGGCTTACCTTACGACAGACAACAGGTGCAAAAAGAGCTAACACATCAATGTCCTAAATAATCTGCACTGATAAAGGATGAATTCTTGAAAAATAATCGCTCAAATACGTATGTGGGTTTCGGATTTCAGAACTTTTATTATGACGTGAGAACACACGTTCAGAGACGAACAACCGTTTTCATTGATTCATCTAGCCTGTGTGGATCATATACGAGTAGAGTATCAGTCAGTCAAAGGATAAAGTGATTGGTTGGGAGAGGGGGGGGTTGTGGCGCGATGTGTTTCACGCCACTATGTAACCACAGAACTGCAATCAGGTTGCGGTGCGTCATACGTGTGATCAATCTTCGGACACAGTAGTTGGATGGCATGGGTCAATCTCTAGTGCACATAGGCTGGTTGTGAACACACGAATGACGATTGTTTCCGCAATGGTTAGGGTGTAGAAGGGCAATAATTTGGATGGAGCATGTGGTACTTGATGGATAAGTTTGATAGCTGACTGAAAGCACAGCGTTTTAACACTTCACTTCCTTATATAGTCTGTCCAGGCCAGAAGATGAATCAATAAGAACAATTCTTCGGCTCTGAACGCATTTTCATAGATGCATGTATTCTTTTGCTCAATTATAAATGAATTAAATGATTACACAACAACTGAATATGATCCACTTGATCAACCGTCTAAGTATGCATATATACTATTGCTCTTATAACGTAGAGACCCATTTAATGCGTGTAGACAGCGGATCAGCTGAGTACACGAAATCGATGGACCATATCAATCCTTCTCATGTTGTGTTACTTATTTTACTCAATTAGATCAAAGAAAAGAATGTTTTTGAAACTAGATGCACGCATATGCTGCGTAATAAGCGTCATAAGTCAGAAAATCAGCTGTCATTATTTCTCTGGCAAACAGCGGTGAGACAGTGTCAGTCCAAATCCAGCTTACTGATAGGTTTACTGGTTAGCTTTGTTTAGGACAAGCTATTTAATAGATGGAATTCGTTGTGTATAGAGCAAATGAAGCGTGAACTAAAAGGCTACGGCTGTTTCGACCTGGTTGGGTCTCATCAGTACTGCGAATCCATAGACCCAACTGGGGATCGAACCCGGGACCTCACGGGCAGAACGCAAGCATGCTACCCACTCGGTTACTGGATAGCTGATCAGACTGTTTTTCATCTTCCATTTACACGATTTAGAACAACCCATCTGTGCGAGCTTGTGGCGGGCATCGCGCCTAGCTCATCTAGCCTCTGGGGTTATGACTCGGTTGGAAACTTTCACCACGAATTCCGCCTACGAAGTTGAATCAAATCCTCCTAAACCTTCATGCAACATAATCTATTATCGGAATAGAACAGTACACCTGTATCCTGCCCTATCCATTTTCACATTCATTTCAAATCCATTGATAATATACATATTGCTTGTCAAGAACTGAATTTACGGCCATCTTTATATCCGGGGTGTGGACCGTGCGGATTAGATGAGCGCAAGCGACACACCAACACACTGTCCTAACTGACGCTTGTTGTTGACTTGCATTGGGTTCATTCATATCGGCATTTTCTTATCTTTTCTCTTGATGTGCCCCTACCTGTTGTTATTCGGTTGAGTCCATAGCCTACCGATGAACTGTACCGACCGTACGACGGTCAGTGGTTTCATATGAACACTGATTGTTATCTTACTTTTCAATTATTAGTTTGGCTAAGTTGTGAGCCTATACATTCGACTGCCGCTCAGCATTGGACCTCCTAACACATCCTGTGTGGAGCAACGAGATTTGAGGCGCATTCCATTCTGTTTCTACATTAGTATTCGGATTTGTTCTGATAACGAAGCCCGGGTATCGGCCGAATTTGGATGTCTCTGAGGCCGTGCATAACTGAACGCTGACCTACATACTCGGAAGAACACAGTATTCAGTAAGAAGATCGTGTGATTGCCAGACAACGAAAACCCTCGACCTATCTTCACAAATCACTACCTTTTCCAGCGGTCTTTAGTTGGTCGCAACCCCTGAGTGGAAGCTGTTGAGCTGGTCACTATCATTCAGTAACAGATGCCTAAACTGAGCACCATCGATCCGTAAACCAACCCAGACTCAAGCAATGTGGCGAAGATGCCCAAGATCGCATAGTGCCATATTTTGTGTATTTTGTATACAAAAAATGGTATTTCTGAGTGACAGCAAAATCAGTTAGGACACTGTTGTAACAAAGCAGCATTTCTGACACCAAAGAGGATGTCTCATTGAAGGGAAAGGGAATGAAGGTCGGGATTGCGAAAACGTGTATGAAGGAAGAAATTTCGTCTGTGGTTCTCTAATAATAAAAAACAATATATAGTTCAATTACCTTAATCCAAAGATAACTAAGAAATCCCTGCAATCTCCTTTCAGTAAGATGATCTTTTATTGATGAGGCTGACCTTTTATTACATACATTTTTGTGATGAACAGTAGACGAGGGTGCATCCTATAGTCGCGTAGACCTGCCATTCTGTGGTGGAAACCGGTAACCTAAGCCCCGGGACATGGAGTGGCGAACCACATAAGGTCCCAGTAGTTTAGGCGTGGTACTGCACCAGGCGACAGAAAAGCAGATCCACAGGGAGATCGTTATGTAAGAGTAAAGTAAAAGCACAAAACGAAGAAACCAGTGGTTCAAAACGGTGAATGATGTACGGAACCACCAGAGCTACCCATTATCATTAACAGCCATACCGGGAATCCAATCTCGAAAGTGCACACGTCGGCGCAACGTAAAGGTCGGGGGGGGGTGATAAACCAACACTGAGACGATGGTCGGTCAGATCAGTTAGATAGTGGGTTTTGTAGATGCATTACAATAAACCGGATATTGCTTACCATAATTGCATAATGAAGTGGTGTCGCCCCGTCGTTATCACCCAAGTTAGGATCAACACCTTGAGTAAGTAGGTTTAGCACACCATCGAGGTCATTCTCCCGCACTTTGATATGTAAAACAGTGAGACCGGACGAATTTTGTGCATCCAAGTTGGCGCCGAGTTCGTTTAATCGGCGAAACATCTGACAGAGGTAAGTGAGCATACCACAAAATTATTCACATTGTGATGTCAGCAGACTTTTAGATGAACGTTAGCAAGATTTTGATCAGTACCCATATATGAATATTGCTTAAAAGCACGTTTGACTTATATATGACAGTACAGCTGCAAACGGGATCTATTCCGTCGGGCTGGCTCTAGCTTGAATGTTCCCCACACCTTCCCACTTACAGTATATCTTCGGATCATGGGGTTTACCCCTTTTACTGTATTCACTTTCGTGTAATAAAAAAAATTCCGTCGGGCTAAAATTTCTGAATCAAAAGATTCACTCTTTTACAGTTCTAGGAAAATGAGGAAATCGTCAGTAGAAAACACTTCACAGAACAAATGAGTGGATCAGAAATCTTCAGTCAAAAAATTGTTTTCTTATTGTCATTTTACTCTAACGCGTCAGAAATGATAGCATGTTCATGTATACCATGAAACAGCATAGAGAATTTGGCTCATTCATGCAGCAAAATACGGTACTGGCCGATGCACTAAAATATTTTCTTCATAATCAAATGGAGTTTCATTATATTTATCACCGGTATTAATGCTTTAGGTATGGACAATAATTTATATGTTGTCTACTTCGATCTACGTAGTTTCTACTATGTATAAGTGTCAGTTAAACGTGTCTAGATCAACCACCACTCAGGAGATGGGAGTATCCGCTACATTCTGAACTATTCCATCTGCTGAGTATAAACGAATCACCAAAATTAAGTCTATAAAGACTCACCAAGGCTTTTTTATTGTTATTTGGAAAAAAATTTCACTTCAGTATAAATGCTGTTGCCTATACGAACCGACAAATGTTTCACAGGGACCCGTTGCTTCAGTTTCGGTTAGACCTATATATACGCGGGGTTATTGTAGAGTCTTCCTTAATATTCAATCTGCAGTCACTGGATCATCGGCGGATGGTTGCTTTTCGTCGCCGTAACCAATTTGACTTTTGTTCTTTGGAGCTTTCCACAACAGTTCCTGTTCCCATAGCCTTAATTGCAAACCAGTTATATCTGTGGCTATAGACGCTTCTCAGAATTTTGTAACTAAATATCTAATTTCGACCTTTCGGTCTTCGTTTCGCCGGGCGAACAATCAACCTATGAAACATCCTTTTTTTCTATGTCATCCCGCTCGTCTTGAATCTTTTTACTTTTGGAAGAAGGATTGATAAGTTGGAATTTAAATGAATGTTCCCATTCAGGCCTTCAAAACTTCAAAGGACGTGTTACCCGTTTCACTGACAAATTTCGTACGTTATAAACCATGTCACGGCATTACTCATTTAATTTTTCGTGTGCAGCACCTTATTCCCGTTTGTTTACAAAGACCAGTAACCACTATGAGAAAAGGAATACTCGAAAAGAATAAAAAAATTAAGCCACTTCTGAGGGGAAGAAAAATGTTAAAATAATACTAAAAAACAGCGTATAACAGAGCTAATAAATCAACAGAGCCGAATAACCTCATGGTCTTGATCATGTAAAGAATCGTTTACCTTCATCAGCCAAAAAAATAATTGAACAATGCAGGTAGGTTATGGATGGAAAAAAGAAAACGGTAGTCGAATCCAGGCCTGTTCTGATGGTATGAAACCCCCTGAGACTTGCACACATCCGTCGCGTCAGGCTCCCCGGATGGAGACCCCGCGATCACTGCAATCAATGGTTAGATATACTGAGTGATACGGCTGACTGTCGCAGTGGTGCTCACGGATCTACTTAGTGTTTTAGTCTTTACGAATTCTCTATTTTCACACTGCCACTGAGTTAAACATTCCAATCTTCTCTTTACTCCTTCATTGAAATGGACAGTGATGAGACAGCAACAAAACCGGAGTACGAAAGTGCATAGTTAGTGAATGTAAAATCTGAACTGAACTGAACTGCATAATGACCTACCAGAGGAAAGGAACGGTGGGTGTCCCAGACAGAGAGTAATGTACATCCAGCGTGCGACTTACAGTAAACTGTCTCAGCGTAGTTAAATTCATGGAATGAATAAGACAGTTTCATCAGTTTGATAAAGGTTCGGAAATCGTTAGTCGACAGAATTTCAAATGTATTACAACTCAATCACGAATTGGGTGGGAAGAAACACGTGATATTGGAAAATGCATTTTGTAGAGTGAACAAAATGGTATTGCTTCATTGAGCCTATTCCTAAGAGCACTGATGTCCTTATTCTTTTCATACAAATGATTTGTATTTGCATTTGTATAGACTTTTGCATAGAACGATGTCCGTATTTTAGTCATCGCATCGAAAGAACATTGGCAATGCTGAACAAATGCATAGAAAAGCACTAACCTTAGGATTTGAAGCCAGATGAATTGGAAAGTCTTGAGTACTGGGTTGTTGACAATCCAGTGCCTGAGGACAATGTCGGTAAATGAGGTCCACACATCTATGGAATACGAAAACGCGCAGATTAAGGTGAACATCAAAATGTGGAAGAGGGGAATATACTTAAGCATTCCAATCCATAACCAAAGAGAATTGAACATTTTCCTAGAAAAGAATGACCTCTCCAGAATCCATTTATCTACCAGCTTCCAAAAGCCTCAGTATGGTCGACGGTGGGTTTATTGCATTTTGGCTGAGCTCAGATGCTGCTATGCAACTAAGCGTTTCAAAAAGCCTCTGTTCAGGAGATTCTACTCATTGTCTTCCCATGGTGAGAAGACGAAAAGGCAACCTCTGAGACTATAATCGAATCCGCCAATCACTGGCGGTTAATAGGAGAGAGAAGTCTACAAGGCCTCATCTCCAACTAACCAAAAAGAACAATACAAACCACACAAGCGCATCCTTTTGATTGTGTCAGTGGTCACTGGTTCAACTGAGCACTCGGGACGTTTGACCCCATCCAAGGAGCACAGTATTCAATAGACTGGATACCTACCCCCATGAATCGCGATTGTCGCAGGAAGAGCTGCTGACCGTAGGGAATCAAGGTAGCCCATAAACCAGCAGCCTTCAAAAGCCTCAGTATGGTCTAGGGTTGCGGCTGGTCACCCTTCGCTTGCACTTCGTGAAATTCTACCGTACGACCAAGCGTCTTAAATAGCCTCTGCTGAGGAAGCCCCACTCACTACCATCTCGTGGTGGAGGTGTTCTCCCACCAAATTGAGAGGATGAAAAACCTACATCTGGGTTGGTGGACCA